TTACAGTGACCGAGCACCTCGAAACAATCCAGCTGAAAGTATTTGGTCTTTATGAATTAGTTGGGACGTTTTGGATCATTTAACAGGAAACTCTCCCCAAACGGAGAAGTCATCTATCTAAGATTGTCTCTTGTTGACTAGTCTTAATGGCCTTGCTTGTAAGGCGTTACCCTTGAATGAGGGAGAAACACTAAGAAACACTATTTCACCACAGTTTTACTAGTAGTGGAGAGCCTTCATGCTATGTTTCCCATACAACTGATTGAAGAAAAGTTTGTATAGATCACTGTCTTGTGTGTAATCTGATCAAACTCATGGGACTTCTCATTAGTTTGTTGGTCTTGACACTGATCAATGTAAGAGCTTGTAATGATGCATCATAATGAATGCAACAAGAAGTGAATCTAGCAGGTCTCAGGTTAAGAGACTGTAAAGTACTATCAGTAAATTCTTTCTTGTAATGAATGAATGTCTGTACAAGAGGATTGACAATATCTGCTAGCTTCAATTGGATCATGCACAATGCTTGTTCAGTCTTGCAAAGTTTTATCTGTTTCATTGGGCTAATGCTACAAATCTGGTGATTTGTGGATCAGGTAAAGATCCCACTGCACTATTTTGAAGAAGAGCAGGAAGTTCTCCTAATATCCTGACCAACATTTATCCCTCATCTAATTTCACCAGAAGGAATGCTCATAAGTAGGTCATTCATCATTGCTGGTGTGGGATGTTCCATTAGCTGCCACACTTGCCTACAAACCAACAGTCCAGAAGTTGCTCATTGGCATCTAAAAAGCTGTTCAGTTGCGTCAACATTGTGCGATCACTGGGAAAAGCTCTATCGGTATTGAAAAAAAATCCTTCTATTTGATCTAGTGCCGTATCACATCATTGAGACATCTCAAAGCACTCACAGGAATTACTGTAAAATGTATTTTGTAGGTGAACATGGCAGCCTATTTGCACATAGCAATATCCCACAAACACCCAGGAAGTGCCCAGGACACCAGAAGAAACTGCCTTCTTGTTTTGAATAGTGCCATGAGATGTTCAGCGCCCATCAGAAGTGGCAGACTTGAGCAGCATTTTCTTCTACAGGACATAGAATGACGAAAGTTTGTCTTTCTGAGACTTCAGATCGCAGGCAAAGCCTAACCCTAACCCTTGCAAGGCTGAGTGATGTGTATGTTTTCAATGGAGAAAACCCTCTATGTGTTAGAGATGCTTTGGCCTATTGTATTGCTCAAATAAAATACAGTACTTCATCTCAGATTTAAAACGCACAGACCCCATTGTATTACCCATCTCATTGTTTTTGTTTCTCTGGGAGATTTTAAGATTTGAGAAAGTCTAATTAGTCTTGCTAATATGCTGACATTCTGATACATAAGGCTCCTGGTTCACTGGTTGTGAAGTGGCACTAAGGGAAGCAGAAAATTAAACTATTTATTTATTCCTGTATTATGCAGCAACTCCTGTGAGCATTAGCATCAATTGATAATCTGTACACATTAAGAACACAGTGCTGAGAATAATAAACCTTGCATTTTATATAGTCTCATTACATTGTCGGGGTAAATTCCCAGAATTTACTGTATAAATGTAGTCGCTGTGTGTTTGTTCCACAAACAATAATAAAGTGAATAACCAAGCAAGAATCCTTGACATTGGGTATTAGAATGTTGACATTGGATGATTATAAGGAATTCTGGTGACTGTTTTCAAATATCCTGTTCTGAAGAATATTCTTCATTTGAAGTTGGAACTCAAATGTCTCCAAACAGCTATATGGATTTGCCTGGATCTTCATTGCTGAGAATACTCTCACAACACTTCAAAATATCTTGTTTTCTTCCAAAACTGAGGGACAACAGTGTGACAGATAAACAATAGCCTGAGCAAATGGCTCGTCTAAAATAGGAGAAAATGTGCTGATACTGTTTCCATCCTGACCTGGTTAGTTAGCTGACAAAATAGTTTGCAGATAATAAAACTGAGCCGTGGGGTTAAATTCGAAGAGGGTAAGTATGTTAAAAGAGCCTGCTGTAAATCTGGTGTGTTGGTCAAACCCTCGACTTTCCTGTCAGCAGGTAAATGATCGATTTGCACGGATGCATGAGTCACAGGGCGCAATCTGGAGATCATAAAAGTGTACATGGAGATATAAATTATGCATCAATTCTTACACTACATGATTTACGCAACCAAATGGGATGCATTTTAAACAGATTACTGGTTTGTGCATTTTTGAAATATGAAGATAGCACAATCTTCATTATTTGTCTTTAATCCCCAAACTCCACATCAGTTAACAACCTATTTTTCCTATAGTATTTAATTCAATGTGAATACTTGCAACTTGAGGGCTACAGTGCTTCCGCAATTTCCTTCTTGCTTATTGTACATAGGAAGTGATTTGTACTTTGCTTTAATTTCATTCTGTAATGCTGTTTTCCAAAAGCAAATGATGTTCAAATGGAAAATAAGATATTCCTGCATC